TTAAATTTAGGTATTCTAAATTCCATATGTAATTTGAAGTGCAAAATCTGATGATGTGCTTTATATATTGAAATCCTAACAGTTGAAATACATATGAATGTGTGTATATATACATATTTACATACAAGTATTGCTATAATAAGTATTAAAGATTATGAAAGGTATGTTATGTAATAAGCAAGAACTTGCAATTACATTGACAATATGAATATTAAGAATGTGATATTTGAATAATTTTAGAAAGAACATCTTTTCTGAGCCTACGATATTTTAAAAAAATATTTATTTTTTAGTTTTAGGTGGACACAACATCTTTATTTTATTTTTATGTGGTGCTGAGACCTGAACCCAGTGCCTCACGAGGCATGCTAGGTGAACACACTACCACTTGAGCCACATCCCCAGCCCCTCTGAGCCTACAGATATTTATAAAAATATAAATGCCACCACAGGGTAGGTGTTGGTGGTGCACTCATATAGTACTAGTGACTTGGGAGGCTGAGGCAGGAGGGTTGTGTATTTGAGGCCAACCTGGGCAACTTAATGAAATCCTGCCTGAAAATAAAAACTAAAAAGGGCTGAGGATGTAGCTCAGTGGTAAAGCACCTCTGGGGATTTAATTCCCAGTACCACCACCACCACCAAAAAAAAAAAAAAAAAATTCTACCACAATATTATATAATAAAGATCAGACATCATAATTGTAATTACTATAAAATTATTTGGTGCAATTTATTAATAACAGGAAACAATCTTTTAAAAATAATTTTTAGTTGTAAATGGATATAATATCTTTATTTTATTTATTTATTTTTATGTGGTGCTGAGGATTGAACCCAGTGCCTCACATGTGCCAGGCAAGTGCTATACCATGAACCATAACCCCAGCCCCAGGAAACAAATAATCTTTAGAAACTAATGTTTAATTATTCAATTCCATTTAGTCTATGAATTTTTAAAAATAACTATTTGGTAATTTTTCACAAGTTAGGAAAATAAAAGCAGAATATTAACTTGGCTACCTCAAATTTCACAAGTAGAAAAAACACATGAAATATACACATGATAAGTCATGTTTGAGATATGACATGATTAAAAATATGGAGAGTTGAAGAACAGTAGAAAGTGTTGATAAAAATAAGGCACTCCAAACCTATTTTGTTCTCTAAACAATGGATTTACAGGGTGTTTTTAATATGAGTTACTCACCTTTTGGTATCTGTAAACATTCATGTATTTTAAAGCTTGTGGAAATAGTTACTATATATTTATAACCATTTTCTAGCAAAGAGAACAAATTTTTTGATATTTCCCCCAAGTTTTTAATTTTACATATTGATTTCTTTTTGAAAATATTTCTAAAAATTTTTTATTTATATCCTTTATGCATGAAATTTTTTTTGAGAGAGAGAGAGAGAGAATTTTAATATTTATTTATTGTTTTTAGTTCTGGGCGGACACATCTTTGTTTGTATGTGGTGCTGAGGCTGGAACCTGGGCGCAGGCATGCCAGGCTAGCGCGCTACCGCTTGAGCCTCATCCCCAGCCCCCGAAAATTTTAATTATTAAATTTGTACCACAGGAGCTGAGGTTGTAGCACAGTGGTAGAGTGTTCACCTAGCACGTGTGAGGCCCTGGGTTCAATCCACAGCACCACATATAAGTAAATAAAATAAAGGTATTAAAAAAGGAAAGAGTGAAACACTGTTTCTAAGAGAATTAGAAAATAGTGTTGGGAAAGGATTTAAAAAAAAATTTGCTACCACAGCATCTAGCATATAGCACAGTTGAATATGAAGAATCAAAGATTTGACTACATTGAATATTAATGACAAATTCAACTGTCCTGGCTCTCAAACATGTAATAAATCTGACCTCAAAAAATATTTGTGGAATATTTTCTCTTCAATAAGGAGAAATGCACACAATTCTCATTGTCCATTCAGTAAACATGAGAAAGGGTATGAGCACACATACTCTATAGTTTGCTCATATCTTCAGTTTTATATTCAGAAAATCTTTTTAGCTTACATTGGTTTTAATAGAAAATTACTGCCTATAAGTAGAAACATTTTCATAGTTTTTCTTTATCTTATAAGAAATTCTGTGATACACAAAAGATTTTGAAGTTGTCTTGTTACATACATTTGCAAGGTATTTCATAAGATGGAATAGCAGTTATTACAGGTTTCAAAGGCTGATAAGATGAAAGTTTTTACTTTGTATTTCCCAGCAAAGATTACCATTGTACTAAGATTTACTAATAACCAATGGATTGCTACAGAGAAAGAAGTTTGTATGAATTTGTTGAATAAATTGATACTTAAAAACTTCACATATATTTTCCACAATTCCTGTTGAAAAGATCTCCATTGACTTTGCTTCAGGGACGATGCTGTAGTTGGTGTGCAAGCAATGAAAACCAAGTTGCTGGTAGAAACTGATTTATTTCATTATCTTGACCAGTTAAATTGTTCCATTGTCACATTTCTAGATCCCAACTTTAAGGACAAATTTTTCTCTAGTAACTGGGCATAGCAGCAAAAATATTAGAAATTAAAAATAGGAGTACAACAATCTTAAATCTGCTTCCAAAAATGTCATGTATTTTCTTCAAACAATATACAAAACTTTAGTTCACGAAACTGCTTAATGAAATGCAGAAATGAAGACCAAGAATAAACTAGTGGACTAAGGCTGTGGCTCAGGGGTAGAGTGCTCACCTTTCAGGCCCTGGGTTCCATCCTCAACACCACCTAAAAATAAATAAAATAAAGGTATTGTGTCCAACTGCAATTAAAAAATAAATATTAAAAAAGAGTAAAGTAGGAAGAAAGTCTTTGCCATAAATTCCTTTTAGAGGAAGAAATATTTAATAAGTTAGTGGTAATACCATCATATCAAATAGGTAGAGCTATTTTTCTTCCCCATCAAGTTCAGCTGAAAGTGTCTTGTTAGTGATGCAAATATTCCTGCTTAATAATCATAGGAGCATCTAACAGTTAACAGGGCTTTGAAATTACTGCTCTTGCTCTTAAAGGTTGGACCTTTAAATTATAACTATTACATTTTTTATTGTTGGTCGTTCAAAACATTACATAGTTCTTAATATATCATATTTCACAGTTTGATTCAAGTGGATTATGAACTCCCAGTTTTACCCCTTATACAGATTGCTGTATCACATCAGTTACCCTTCACTATTACATTTTTAATAATAAAAATATAAAACAATTTTCTTGGAAAGAAATTTCAGATTTTTTTCTTGAATCTTAGAAGTTCATTCTAGGGTGATATTCAGATTCAGAGAATGGTAATATTACCTGTCAAATATTCTCCATTTGACCAAGATGTATACTTAGGTAGACCTCAAATTGCATACTGCATAAGTAGCTATAGTCTAAATTTAATACAAGAGCAGGTGTCCTAACAGGAGGTTTTCATAACTTCCATGAATTACAGATACATTTACTGCTACTGGCATTGACTTGATTTCTTTTGTTGCAATACAGGTTTGAGAGGATTTTGAGTCATGCCAGTTTGAAAGAAGAAATGTGCTGGAAACTCAGGTTTATGTGGCTATGTAACTATAACACACTGCTAAACACACAACCTCCATGGTTAACAACTTTCTTTTCACCAGTTCCTTTGCACAGACCCAACAAACCATAACCGCAAGCTTTATTTCTGCGAACCTCAAGAATTTCCCTTCCAGACCAAGCCCTAGAGAGTCAATAATCCAGATAGGATAAATTTGGTGCCAACTCGGGTCATGTAAGATGTGAACCGCTTCACGTTGGCAGCCACATCTGTAATTTCTGCAAATGACACGTCTTCGTCATTGTTCTACCCACAAACTCACTCCAGCTTTATCCCCACCTGACTCTCACACTCTTCGCGTTTTCAAACCTTGCTAAATCGGAAGGTCATCCAGCAGAAGCTCTGTTTCTCAGCTGGAACTTCATCATGAAAAACACTCCCCAGGACGATCCCTGGTTTGCAACTGAGCCCTAAGCTACCAACTGTTGGACTTTCTCGCGGGGAACATGCGGAGATCGCCCGCTCACGGGCTGGGCACTGCCAATCAACCCGCGCAGAGGCGGACCCACGGGAGGGGGGGTGCTGGCCGCGGGGGCCGCCAGGGGGCGCGCTGGCTGCGGCGG